GGGCAGGACAAAAAAGGATAACTTTCTCCTCATTCATGGGAGTAGGCAATGAATGTTACATATAATAACCAAATCCCACCAAAAAAGTAAAGTGACAAATACAAAGATTTTATTGTATCTGCTTGAATCAGAAGCTTTAACTCCTATGAGAAATGCCTCGCTAGCAGCAAAGAAAAATCTTTAGAACAGCACTGAAGTACCTATAAAAAGCCACTCTTCCCAAGACTCCACAACACTTTTCTCATTGGAGGTATCAACCTGAAGCTAATTTTCAGCTGATTTTCATCAAACTATCTTTCCACTAAATAAAATGCAATTCTAGTCTATAAAAATGTTGAGGAAATGTGCAACCTCAGCTGGATTTTAGTACACTGCAAATACCTCTTTCAATTTCAGGGTAGGGGAGGAGTTCTTAGGGAACGACAAGTTCTTAGGCAATGACAACCGTGGAAACCAAATCAACTTCAAAGCATTTCAATAAGAAAGGCAATATAATAACACATAATAGTGAGTTAGAAAGAGCCAGTATGGGCGGTGGGTACGACAGGAGAAGGTGGAAAGATAAGCAAAATCTTCTAGCTGCAAACACTGGAATCTCCATTAGCATCATGTGATCGATCATAAGCACCACTTGAGCATTATGTTAACCATGCAGAATGTTCAGGCCCTACTCCAGACCTCCTTCCTGAATCAAAGTTTCCAGGGAAGCCAGGCATGGTGGCCTACTCATATGTGAGGCTGAGGCAGAAGGATTCAATTTGAAGCCAGCCAGGGTTATATAGTGAGTTTGAGACCAATCTGGACTACAGAGTGAGATCCTGTCTCAAACAAAACAATAAAAAACACTTTAGGAAGACATCTGGAATTGTTTTGTCTTAGTTTTCCAAAAGTCTCATCTAAGTCACTAGATTGCTGGGCTTGAACTTGCAATCCTCTATCCTCAGCCTCCCAAAATGCTAAGATTACAGGAATGTGCCACAATGCCTACTTGGAATCTTCTTTTTTGACAAGAGCCCCAAGAAAGTCTTATGATCAAGCTAGATTCAGGAAATCAAGGGCTATCCAGCTCAACTGAAAATTTGGTTCATGCATTTCTTTCAAATTTCACCTTATACTCAACTCCAGTCATTCTGGACTACACATAATCACCAGAAAGTGTCAAGCCCTCTTATCTCTGGACCTTGTAGGTACTTGTGCCCCATCTCTTCTTTTACCTCACACCAGCTGACTCGGCCTGGACATCACTTCTCCCAGATCCCTCTGGACTTCATCATGACTCCTACTGCCCTATCATTCCTGTTTATATTCCCAGGAGACTAAGTTCCATAAAGATAAAGCCTAATTTTGTTGTTATTGATGCTCACCATTATATGCCTAAAACTAGGAAGTAATAAAGCTTAGCACCTAAAGTATCCATGGGGTGAATAAACACATGAAAATAAGCTCTATGCTGCTGGTACAAAAAACTCGGATCTAGCTGGGGATTTAGATCAGTTGTTCTAACACCTGTCTCACAGGCACAAAGGCCTGAGTTCAATCCCCGGTACCAAAAAAAAAACAAAAACTCAGATCTGCTATATGAAATCAAAGAGTTAGACAAAGTACTGTACAGATATAATTTTGGACACCAGCAAAGAAAGGCTGACAGTGGGAGAAGATAAAAGTCATGGGATTCTGTAATCCCAACACTGGGAGACTGAGGCAGGAAGATCCAAGTTCAAGCCTAGCCCAAGCAGTTTACAACTTAGTGAGACCTTGTCTCAAAAGTGTGAGGGCTGGGGATTTAGCTCAGTGGCACCGCGCCTGCCTCATAAGCACAAGATCCTGAATTCGATCCCCAGTAACAAAAAAAAAAAAGTGTGAAGGCCTTGGGTTCAATCCCCAGGACTACAAAAAAGGAAGAATGAATTGAATGAATGAATGGACATATGTATATATGGATATATGTACATATGTATCCACGTTGTGGGGAAGGTAGCTTCTTTTCCCATGCATAAGAGTACATGATTTAGCCCTCTTTGTAGGGCAATGGATTCAGAACTGTGTTCCTAGGAGCCAAAGGATCTGGTGGAGTTGCTCAGTGAATCAAGGGAAGATAGGAGGGTACTGTCAAAGGACTAACTGAGGAAAAGGTGAAGAAAGAGGAGAAATGAGAGCAAAGACTACAGATCTAGTAAATTGCTACAGTTTCAATACAGCCCGTCCGTCCCCTCCAACTTATGTTAGACTTTAATCCCTTTTACGAAGTCATAATAGGTAAAAAGTAACTCTGACCATAATATTTACAGGCGGAACCCCTGGGAGGTGATTAGGGTTAGATGGGGTCACCCGGGTCCAACCCCACAACAGAATGCTGAGCGTTTTACCAAGAGGGACAACAGGACACACACAGGCACTCTCTCTCTCCCACAATGTGATGCCCTGAGCCACTTTGAGATGCTGTCAGCAGGAAGAGTCCAGAACCATGAGCCAAAGTAAATTTCTTTTATATTTACCCAGTCTATGGTATTGTTATTAGCAAGAGAAAATGTACATATAGACATAGATATAATATATAACATTTCTAAATGGCCTGAAAGCTTTTACAAACATTTCTAATATGAAAAAAATTTTTTCAAAAGAATATTAATCCATATAAGTAATATAAATGATATCCTTATTTTTTCCTTGGCAGCAGGAATAAAAATCCTAGGAAGCAGAATGAAGCCACAGGTCACATCATATAGGAGGATGCAAAATAAAACAGAGACTGCTGCACAGAGACTCGCCCAATGGATGAACCAGGAAAAAAGGAAAAGAAAAAAAATCCTATAAATGGAAAGGATGGAGACACATGTCTGATCCATCTAGATTTAGATTTATCTAGATTTAAGAGAAAAAAATGTCAAGAAAAAGACATAAAAAACAAATAGACTGTAGTCACAAAAATTAATTATACAAAATAATGACAAAGTCTGCCAGCCACAGTGGTGCAGGCCTATGGGAGGCTGAGGCAGGAGAAGTGCAATCTCAAGCCCAGCCTGGGCAACCTAGCAACTTAGCAATACTTCTGTCTCAGAATAAAAAGCAGAAAAAGATGCTGAGGATGTAGTCAGTACCAAATCCATTTTGAAGGTCCTGGCTTTCATACCTACTACAAAAAACAGAGGGAAAAAAGACAAGTCAGTATGTGGGTCTAAAAAGCATCTATTTCAGAAAGGAAGTACCCTTAAAACATTCTGATAGTCTTATATTACTTTGATTGAAGTTATAAATATTAATGCACTTTGGGTTTCATTTTAATTGGTGTTAAAAATTCCAGGTAAACACAAAAAGAACAGAAAAAAAAACTCACAACCAAGTCAAGGGAAACAGTGGACGGAAGAAAGCTCAATTCACCTAAAAGACAAAGGAAAAAAGGACCAAAATGAAGCAGCAAATAAGCTGCAAAAAATGAAGTTTATCAGTATTCACAAAAAAAGGCTAGGATAAAAAAGCAAAGATTGTCACACTGACTTTTAAAAAATAATCTAACATGTTGTTTACAGAAGATTAAGGATTCAGAAAATCCTAAAGTAAAACAATGAAAATAGTTATACTATAGCAAGCATGTTAACCAAAAGAAAGCTGGCATAGCTACACCACTATGCAACAAAGGAGATTAAATAAAAAAAAAAAAAAAAAAAAAAAAAAAAAAAAAAGAAAAAGAAGCTATCTACTGATGAGTGTCCTTACTCCAAAGCTACAAAATCCAAAACTTCTTGAGCATCATGTCATTCCTGATTTAAGAAAATAACAATGATTCTTCATACAATGGAAAAGAAGTTCCTTAACCTGATAATAAAAAAAAAACTACAGCAAAAATCATTAACAATATCAGAAGCATTACCTTTAAAGTAAAAAACTAGACAAGGAGGCCTACCATTCTCCCTACTCTTCAGTATAACACCTGAGGTCCCAACTAATACATTAAATTAAGAAAAAGGACTGTAAGGTTTACAAAAGGGAGATCAAAATTGTCAATGAAAATGGTATACTTACCTACCCAAGTAGAATGTATAACCATTAAACCTAACTAAAGAAAACTGAAACACTAATATCAACAAAACACCAACATAAACACTACAGTGATAAGGCTAGCAACAGGTGACTGGGTATCCACAGAAGGTAATTACACTGGAGTTGGGGTGATGTTTGGAATGAGGGACAGGGCCTTCCAATAGTAGACCAGTATGAATCTTTCTGTGAAGAAATGGGACATTCAAGAAGCCACACTCACCCAACATCTCCCAGACTCTGATACCTTCAGTTTGTTATAGAAAGATCATCTGGCCGGGGATTCAGCTCAGTGGCACTGCGCCTGCTTCTCAAGCGCAAGGTCCTGAGTTCGATCCCAGTACCAAAAAAAAAAAAGGTCATCTGTATGATGTTTATCTGTTAGAGAAATAACATTCAAAAAGCAGTAGACCCAACTTTTTGCAGGACTATTCCAAATGTCTTTCTGAGTCACACTCTCTCACATGCCCAAACCTAGGTTTGGCACTCAAGCACTTCTCAATATTTATTTGGCTCCCTATTTTATCTGCTTCACCTTACTAAAATGTAAGCATCATGAGTAAAATCATGGGTTATGTTTTGTTAATGCCCAGAAAATAGTAAATTCAAAATTAATGATAGCAAACCTTTTAGAGCTTTCAGTGATAACAAACAGCCCACTACAGAATGCAGGCCATAGATTTGCTACCATTGCCATGCTAAAAATCAAATGGAGAAACAACCCCTTGAATCCCCGAAGGGTAGTTAGGAACAGCCCACCAGATACAGGTGGAGGCGGTGGAACTAGCAAAGGCACAAAGATTTGAAAACAGCATGACCTATCTACAGAAAGTCAACACAGTATTGTTGAGCAATGGCATACAAGGTGTTGTAGGATCTTAAATTTCTGATTAAAGCTAACTTGAATAGTAAAAGAAAACATTCTGCACACCGGAACAAGGACCCCAGGAGCACTGGAAACTCACGCATTTCTATGAACAGCTGCCTCTTCTCTGCCATGGTCTTCCGCTTGTTCCCACCTTCCTCAATCATCCTAGAGACAAAGAAAAGACTCGATAAATCACTGTATAATTTAACAATTCAATCAAGTTGCTTATTGTTCTGTTGTAAAGTACAGGAAGCCAGGCTGACTGGGTACATTTTAAGACAGTACTGGTAAAAATACAGTGGGAACCTGATACAGATAAAGACAAGGCATTGTCCCTTTATTTGATAGCTTCTAAAAATACAGTTTAGCTTCTTATTAGAATAAGTTTGCAATACATAATAATTAACATTCATCTTGGAAAACTGGTATACATATCGCATCGCATCGTAATCATTTTTACTTCGCTTCCCTGCCCTGCCCTCCCATCTTCCTTCATTCTCAGATCCACTTCCCATCTCTGCAAAGTCTACAGCCAATACTAAATGGTCTTGCACATTTGCTGTACAATATGAGGCTCTTATTTCTAACTTAATTATTTTTGTCTGCAGGGTTCTGGATTAACTGAGACACGATTTATCCTACCACTGTTGTGCATAAACATGTTTCTAAATATAATTTAGGAACTAATATGAGGAAAAGCTACAAGGAAGTACATAACTAGTCCACTTATACAGAAAAGATAGAGGTAAGATCTGCGTGTGTGTGTGAGAGAGAGAGAGAGAGAGAGACAGACAGACAGACAGACAGACAGAGACAGACAGAGACAGACAGAGACAGAGAGAGAGAGAAAGGTCTGAGTAGACCAGACTGGCTTCAAACTTTCGATCCTCCTGTCTTAGCCTACTGAGTGCTGGAATTATAGGTATGCACCATGAAAATAGAAGAAAATTGATCTTCTATTTTCATATCAAACATCCCCAAATCCTAAGAGCTCCTAAATGTACCTTTTCTATCACATGGTTTAGTCATTTAGGTTGAAGACTTAGGCTATGCCAAATATTTTGCTAAAATTGTACATGCACTGAGCTGTGTGGTGGCAAATACCTGTAGTACCAGCTACCCAGAGGCTGAGGGGAGAAGAAAGCTTGAACCCAGGAGCTCAAGACCAGCTTGGACAGCACAGAGACACTGTCTCAAATTGAAAAAACAGATAACCTTTGCATGCATTCAGTTATTATTTAAGCATCATGGAAAAACTACATGCTATTATTATTACTAGTACATCTCCTTTTCATAGATTAGGAAACAGATATCTAGAAAAGAAAACTGTACTAATTTGCAAAAGGGCACACAATTCACAAGTGGGTCAGTGGAATCCCAATACTTTCATTAAACTTCTTACATAACTGCAAGCAGATGCATATTTTCATTCTTTATTTGAAATAGGCTAGAACACAATAGTCTATTATATGGATGCTACTGATGTAAAATTCATGACAATTTCTGCCAAGAAAAAATTTTTGAGACAGGGTCACACTATGTAGTTCAGGCTGGTCTTGAAGTTGAAGTGTTTCTCCTGCCCCAGCCTCTTAAGTGGTGGGATTACAGGTGTATGCCATCATGCTCAGATGAAATTTAAGTGGTACTGGGGATTGAACCCAGGGCCCTGCATATGCTAGGCAAGCACTCTACCACTAAGCTATATTCTTAGCTCCTCAGCTGAAATTTGTCGTACTCTAAGAAGAAAAAAAATCTAGACAATTAACATCAACCAGGTAATTTTTTAAGTAGATTAAACTTTTATAAATTATTCTCGAGTATGATTACTGTAGATTAAACTATTATAAACGATTCTTAAATATGCTGTGATCACAAATTAAATGACAACTACATGAATGTCACATCTATTAAAGCAAGATGCCAAGTTATAAAAAGTTCAGTTAAAATATTCTTCACATTTCACAATTAATATTTTAATCATAAAGACTGGCCCTTTCTTTCAACTTGGCATGCAGCTCAATGGGAGAGCGCCTGCCTAATATACACAGGCCCCTGTGTTCAATCCTCAATACCAGAAAAAGACTGGTCCTTCCCCAGTACTGAAATATTACCAGCTGGCTTCAATACATACAATGTAATTAATACTTTATCCCAAGTCAAAGGAATTCTACACAGATAGTGGTGCGTGCCTGTAAGCTCAGCACTCCGGAGGCTGATACAGGAGTATCAGAGTTCAAGGCCAGTCTGGGGTCCACAGTGAGTGCGAGGCCAGCCTGTACTACACTGCAAAACCCTGTCTCAAAAAAAAAAAAAAAAATTCTAAAATAAGCCAAAGAAAAAGTAATCAAAACCAACAAAAATCCAGTAAAATCTGGTTCTTACAAAAAAAAAAAAAAAAAAGAGAATGGCACCAGTAGCATATAACCATAAAGAAAAAATAGTATTGAAAAGCTTGCTCACTCCTCTCCAGTCTTGGTCTCTCACTAAATAATATAAATTCAAATGAGTACAGATTGAAACAGTATACCATAATGTCTTTTATAACATATCTCATTTATTATATGCTTCTGTACTTTTATTTCTTTTTATCATCTATTCTCAAAAAAGGACAAGAATTCTTGGAGATTGCTACATTCTTCAAGACAGTTTTCTATATTTTATTTTTATTTCCAGATTAATCTTGAAAAACAATATAAATACACTCTAACTCATCTGGATCACCATACTACAAGTACTGCCATGCAATTTCAGGACCCACATCTGTGTCATTACTAGTGGCACTGGTGGCAAGAGATCACCTAAAGCAGGGGCTAGCAAACTATACAAGTTACACTACCTTGGGCATAGCTATCTTGCCATCTTTTTTTTTTTTTCTTTCGTAGAGGAGGGTTGAGACAGGGTCTCACTATGTAGTTAAGACTGACCTGGAACTCACTACATAGCCCAGGCTGGTTTCGAACTCACAGCAATCCTCCTGCCTCAGCCTCCCAAGTGCTGGGATTACAGGCGTGCGCCACCATGCCCAGCTCTTGCCATCTATTTTCACAAATAAAGTGTTATTGGAACACAGCCATGCCAATCCATTTCTGTATTGTCTAAGACTGCTTTTCACACTATAAGGCTGGAGCAGATGCCATAAAAAGCATTTGGCCACAAGTCTAAAATATTTACAATCTAGCCCCTTTAAGAAAGTTTGGGAAGCTGACCCATAGCAATAATTAATATTGAATTACAACAAATGTCGCCTTACTGCACACATCTGGCTACAATAAGGTTAGTATGTCCCCACTGTCAACATGACAACAATCATCCCACATGTATTTGGATTCCAATTTCATTATTAGACATGTAGCACATATCCAAGTGCTTCAAACACTCTTAAGATTCATTCCTCGCTGCTAAAATGACAGTAGAATTAGACAGACACTAATCATTCACGTCACATTTAATCAACAGTTTTTAGCAGGCATGTGAACAAACATCCTCACCAGCTTACATTCTTGTGAGAGAACTAAATGTAATAATTCACTCGGTACTTACTATGACTACTATGCGGGAAGTTTATAAATGTAATGGGGAAGATCACAACCATAAATGATGATGGATGCTATTTGGTTTATTTTCTTTTAGCATTTGACTTTCTAAAACTAATATAAAGTACAAATTACACACTTTAGAAACATAATTATCTAAATGGACAAAATCAGAGCATCTTGAAGTACACAATACAAACCTGAATCAAAAAACACATAAAAATGTATATCAAAGAGATCTGAGATACCAAATGAAATGGTCCTATCACATTGATAAGCCTATAATGAACAAAAACGCATTTAAAAATCTGTCACAGATGGGGGCGTAGGTCAGGTGGAGCGCATGCTTACTATGTGTGAGGCCCTAGGTTCAATCTCTAGCACTGCCCAAAAAATTGCTTATATTATAAACCGGGCTTTAATTTTGTTTCTGTTCTTAAAATTCCCAGGTTTAAAAATACAAATGGAGGGAGACAGAATACAGTACTAAATAAGACATGCAATGATACACAAATCACCAGCTCCAGGAAGAGTATTAGGAAAAAAGTTAACCTTCAGCCCCTGCTCAAGCTCCCTTCCCCTGACTTCTGAAAGGGTCAACACGTTCAGGCTGTGTAAGGATATATACTTTTTTTCTGCAAACATACAGGCCCTAGCCCAGCAGGGTGGCATACACCTTGTACTCTCAGCGCTCTAGGAGACTGAAGCAGGAGGATTAAAAATTCAACCCAGCCTGGGCAACTTACTGACTTAGCGAGACCTTGACTCAAAATAAAAAATGAAGGGGCCAGGGATTTGGCTCAGTGGTTCTGCCACCCGCCTCACAAGCACAAGAACCCGAGTTCAATACCCGGTACCAAAAAAAAAAAGAAAAAAGAAAAAAAAATGAAAAAAGGGCTGGGGATGTACTCAATGCGATGGCCCTGGGTTCAATTAATAAAAAGTAATCATTTCCAATATAAAGAAAAGAACTAGTCATCTGAGATTCCTCAGAACTGTATGCTGTTCTCCACCGATAGTATCTCTGTTCAGAAACTTTTATGTATTTTAGATTTTCCCTTTACTGACTTCAGAAACTTTATTTCACTGTAAAAAAATAATTAAGACAGCCGGGTGTGGTGGTGCATGCCTACAATCCTAGCACTCAGGAGGCTGAGGCAGGAGGATCACTGTGAGTTTAAGATCAGCCTGGGCTACATAGTGAGTTCCAGATCAGTCTCAACTACACAGTGAGACCCTGTCTCAAAAAAAAAAATTAAGATAATTCAACTACAGAATTTGATACTAACACTTCAGATAACACATCTACTATTTTAATTGCTTTAGAAAATTATATGCATATAATAATATTCTCTAAAGTTTGTAAAATTGTCCAGAATTTGGAGCCACCGCATAAGGCTACAATTAGTTCTTTTAAAAACTATTTAAAAACTTTTAAAAATCGGGGCCAGGGGATTTGGCTCAGTGATTCTGCCAACTACCTTGCAACCATAAGGGCCTGAGTTTGATCCCCAGTACCAATAAATAAATAAGTGAAGCCAGGTGCAGTGGCGCACACCTGTAATCCCAGCACTCTGGAGGCTGAGGCAGGAGGATCGCTGTGAGTTTGAGGCCAGCCTTGGCTACATAGTG